AGGTAGCGTAAGTCTGCAGGAGCACAAAGATCTCCCCGCAGTGCCGCTTGCTTCATTTTCTCAAACCTCCTTGTGCCTAGAAAAATGGATGAGCAGAATGCAGTACACTAAAAACACCGTAAATTTAAATTCTGAGGCAATCCTCTCCATCCCAATTGAAAGCGCGCGCACTTAAACACTGCGTAAACCATGAACAGAAACCAAGCCACCCAAACCATGGAGGGTTTTCCAAGCTCTCAAGCAAACTCGAACGCCCAGCAACTCCCAAGGGCGTTCGTCCTTAAACTTCTCCTTGATTCGGTCAAAGGCCTGAAAAACACCACAAGAAGTAAGAGTAAGCCAAACGGCCCAAAAGCACTACAATACAAGAAAAACACCACCCAGCAAAAACTAGAAACAACTGCTGAGCACAAGCGTGTCTCGATGGTATCTTGATCAAGCTTGTGCAATGAGCACCAATGACAGCGAAAGTTCAAAAGATCTTGGAACTTGCTTTGGGAGACAAAGTTCTCAAAACAATTGCGTTTCGAACATTTGCATCTTCTCGCAAGGGCAGCACGGAGAGCCACTGCATCATTCAAAGGTGTCCTTTTCTCCCCTGAAGAAGACTTTTGTCTTTTGGGAGGGTCTGGTTCATCAGGATCGGCACTTACACTTTCACCGCTCAAATCACTGACCGTCGAGCTAAACGGCATCGATCCTGACTTACTCGACACCGACCATGGCTAAGCGTGACCCTTCTGATAAAATACTGTAAGCCTAACTACAGCTGTTGTTTGCAGAACTTCCCACACCGAAAGCCATATTCTACACACCGCATAGAAACCCTCTTTGAACTTTGAACATGTTGACAATCAAATCAGCCTTAAGCAAAGTCGTTTCAACAAAACATCCAAAAACATGTCAGCTCCGTCTTAGACGAGCCAAAAAGCTACGCTGTTGTACTGCCAAAAGGTTGGGCACCAACCAACCACACACCACAGCTGCAACATCGCTGACAAGCAGGCCGGCCTGGTTGTTTTCAATACAACCCTGGAAATCACGAATTGCAAATCGTGCGCCATACGTTCACAGCAGTTGCCCTTGAAAATGGCTAATTTAATGTTTGTTTCACATAGTAACTCTATTGTATGAGTAATTATGAGTATATAGTCACATGAGTACTCGTATATATAATATATATATAATAAGCAAAAATACAACAAAACGATCTTCACAGAAGTTGTTGCTGGACATCCGCTGATCTAATTAGTAAGATGAATTGCTCGAAAGATTTGATGTGAAGAGACCAATCCTCACAAAAAGGCCTGGCAAGTCTAACCTGCTCGTTGGACTGCAGGCAATTTCGCTTCCAGCCCAGCAACTTGACAAGCGTACTAGCTTCCGCTACTAAAACAACCTGGCCCAAATCTCAAGGCCCAAAGCAGCCTGTGCTGGAACCACAATATTGCCTAAGCACTTCAGCCTTTGTTTGGTTGTCTCCACTCGCTCATGCTCCAGCCACTGTTCTGGTGGTGGCCGGTTCAGAGGGTTCCACAGTGCCTGGAGGTGCTTGTCCAAGGATTTTAGCTCCAGGCCCTGCGCCAACACAATCAAACAAGAAGGGCCATGACATGCAAAGGGTAATCACATTAAAAGGGCGATCAAAACGAAGAGAATGAAAAAGACGTTCGTCTCCTGCAAGACATCATCCCCTGGCTTGCTTGCCAAGATGAAGATCCGTTCCCTTTTCGCCTGAGATACAAGCTAAATTGCTGACATCACTGAAAATGGTTGGTCAAAGGATGCACTCAAAAAGGATGTCAAGAGTGAAGGGCAAGGCCTCGAACCCGACATGGACCAAGGAAGTTGTACTCCAGCGGATCTCGAACCCCCGGGCTTGGCGCTCCTTCCACAAACAGTATCAAAGAGTTGGCTCAAAGGCTCAAAGGCCTCACAGGCCCTGCGAGTTTAAGGAAGACCCCCGCCTGAACCAAGTAGAGGAACAGTTGTCTCATTTCCGACTTGGCGCTCAATAGCGCCGAAACATTCTCAAGGTAAATGAATCGCCTGACAGATCGCTCAAATGTAAGCGTGTCAAAAAAAAGTGACTGCAACAGAAGCTTAAGGCAAAAACGCGTCACACTGGTCGACGATGTCAAAGCAACATCGCACAAGTGATGTACGATCGTCGTCTAGTCCAAGCTGATCTCCAGCGATGCTTACGCCCTTAGAAAAGTTGAAGCTTGCAATCATGGCAAGCCATCAGAGCTTGAGTTGCGGACTTGACAAGGAAACCCTCCTCCGCAGCCACAACCTCTCACAGCGTTGCTCTTGGAAACATCGAAACTGCGGATGTCTTCGTGAAGCATGGACTGGTGGAGAAGCCCTTCGCTCATTCGAGCGGAGAGCACTGAGCGGCAAAAGGCGTTTGCCTCTACCTGAGAAATTTTCAGGCAGCTAGAAAACACATCAGTTAAAAAAACTGCAAGACAACAACATGAGGACCCCACACAATCCGTTGGATAGATCCACCTCCAGTACCCCACTGTGTTCTGGGAATTTGACATCAACAAAATTTCAAAAAACGCTGGGACCCGAACTGGCTCAACCCCAACTCAAGTCCACCGACTCCGGTGAACAAGCTGACGACTGGCAACTTCTGGTCCTGTCGCAGTGCGATGGGCCATGACTATTGTTCCTTCAGTGAAACTCAGTCCTTGCCCATGGCAAAGGGAAACATGGTTTTGAATGCTGCTGGATCCACTGCATTGGCGCGTGGATTGGTCCAGTTGGCAGGGAGTCCTGGAAGTTTGCACTTAAAGAACCTTGTAAACTTGGGACATGAGAAAGTCCTGCCATCCACTCTCCGCAAGCGGTTGTCAGGTACTTTGCAGGCGGCATGTTTTTGGCCTTCATGAGGTTCTGATAGTCCTTGCTGTAGCGAATCTGGTTGGCCAAATCCTCGCACGAAAGAAAGGTAATGTCCCAAGTGGGTGTCTTAAGAGCCCATACAGGTCTAAGAACCTCACACTGATGGCCCTTGGTGATACCATGCCCCGTTCAGCAGCTATTGTTGTTGCGCTGTAGCAACCTGGTCGTAATGGTTTTGAAAGGAGCACCAACATATGACCACAGTTGTCTTAAGATCGCTGCGCAAAGTCCCCCAATGGGCAAAGGTCCGGCGGCCGTGGAAAATAGCGGTGCCATCTGCCTTCTTCTCTTGTCGGCGTCTGTTAACCTGCATGGGAGGAAAACGACATTGCAGCAAGATCTGACGTGTCCACACAATATGCCAAGAAACCACTTCCAAGGACATCTTGGGAACGCTACTCAACTTCAGAGTGCATTGGCTCACAAGAAGTGAGCCGTTCCGTCCAGGAACAGTCTCCGGGACCCAAGGGATCACACCAAAGCGGGGCAACCGATCCTTGCATCACAGCATCAAAGCCGATCTAGCTAGCAGAAAAAAACACATCAAACGTCCACAACTAGCAGTTTCGGAGACTTGCAACTTGGCAACTGCCCTGGACACAGTAATCTCTGCTCGTGGATAGTATTCGGGGGATGCATCTGGCGGCGTGGAGCTTCTTTTCTTGGCCTTTGGGCGGCCCAAACTCGACTTACAAGTTAGGGTTGCTAAAGAAAGGCCTTTTTCTCGGCTCTCTTCTTCATAGCCTGCCCAAAATTTAATCTCCGCAAAATTCAATTGCCCCACAATGCAATTTGCCAACAGTTAGCCTGCTAAGACAAACTATGAAGTTCTTGGCCTTTGTCTTCTTCTTCACCGGGACCTTGCCCTTCCGCTGCGCTTCCGCTTCCCCTGAAGACCTTGCTAAATTTGGGTTGAAGCGAAGACAGAAACAGCAGCAACAATAACAGCAACAGCAGCAAGAGCCACAACCACAACCTCAACCTGGACGACGACAACAAAAACAACAGCAGCAGCAGCAACAACAACAACAACAACAATAGCAGCAGTAGCAGCAGCAGCGGCAGCGGCAGCGGCGGCAGCAACAACAACAACAACAACGTCCAAGCTACAAGGACAATGACATGAGCAAGGGAAAAGGCACAATAGAAGCTGTTCCCATACACATATAAAACAGCTGAGGTAAGGGCATGCTCAAGGCCGAAACTGTTCGCTTCATCGGCATTTTGCCAAAAACAGGGCGATTGATCCAACAAGAAAAGGCTGCAACTCACAAGCCGCTCGCAATCTGAAAAAGAGCAGTGCGCAAACGGCTCTCAATCTCTGTAAATAACATCACAACCTCTTGAAATGGAGCAAAACGTTCACTGCTGCACCAAACAAGAAACAGACCAAATGGCCAACTGTTTCAAACAAAAACTTCAACACCAACCGGGCATAGTATTCAAACCATTGGCTTGGTTGGACATATCTATTTCTCATGTTCGGCGTGGCATCCTAAAGGGTCATGCTCCCGGGGTGCATGAAACTTTAGGATCCCAAAGCTTTTTTTTCCTGGTGGATGCTTCACTGTCACACTCATGATCAGACTCACTGATCCATGAGCTTTGAAGCTGATAGACTGATCAGACTCACTGATCCATGAGTTTTGAAGCTGATAGACTGGTAGTGGAGCACTGTTCTCAAAGCCATCTCGATGGAACACCCATTCACTTTGGAACACCCATTCAAGGGAAAATTCTTTTAGTTTGGAGGCCATCGCTATTAGGTTGGATGCCATCGCTTCTAGGATGGAGGCCATCGCTATTAAGTTGGAGGCCATCGCTTCGAGGATGGAGGCCATCGCTAACGCTTCTA